CAGAACAACATGACAGCCCTAAGCCTCCTGTCAGAGGTCGAGGTACTGAGGAGAAGGGTGGTGCAAATGGAGGGAAAAGACGAAGAGCTGATACGAATGGCGGAACAATGTCGAGACCTGGACAGCAGACTAGCGAAGGAGACCAGCAACTGCCGTAGCCTGAAAGCTGAAGTGGATAAACTCAACAGCAGAATTAGTGAACTGGACAGGATGGAGGAGGCTTTAGGCAAGAGCAAACAGGACTGCAGCATCCTAAAAAACAGCTTGGAGCAAGAGAGACAGGGCAGCAAAATGCTTTCTGATGAACTTGACACTTTAAGGCTAAAGGTAAGAGATCTAGAGGCCGTTGAGAGCCAACTGGAGAAGAGTGAAATGGTCGTCAGACAAGATCTTGGCAAGCTCAGGTCACTTACTGTAGCTTTGGTGGAGGACAGAAAAACTATGGCTGAGAGACTCCGACAGGCTGAGGAAAAACTACATAGGAAGGAGGGCAAAAGAAACGAGCATGGCAATTTGGCCACAATGACAGAAAAGCTGAGAGAGGACAGGCTGCAGGCACTGAGGTCTCAAGTGGACTTGGAAGAAACAATAAAGAGCATAGCAAAGGAAAAAGATGATCTCCTGGACAGTCTGAACAAAGAGGAGGAAAGAAACAGAGAACTACAGAATAAGGTAACTATAATGAAGAAGAAGTTACAGGTCTTGGAGAACAGGAAAGAAAAAGAGGACAAATACTCATACACCTCTATTCCAAATAACACTGCCTATTACTGCCAAACTGAGGACAACAAAGTTAAAGAACTGACCCGTGAGTTAGAAATGCTGCAAAAGAGACTCCAGGATAAGGAAGTGCTGGAGGGAGAACTGATGAAACTGGAAGAGGACTTTGAGTGTCTTGAAAAGAGGCTCCATGAGGAAAAGACGAGGACCCAAGCTCTAACAGAGGAGCTGGAAATGACAAAGAGAGAGCTTTCAAGGTACGATCAGGCAGAGAAGCAGGAGGTCAACCAGGAGCACCTTCTCCTTTGCCGCCTTCAGAAGGAGCAGGTTAAATCTAGACTCTTAACCAGAGAAGTAGACAGCCTGAAAGAAAAACTCCAGAAGCTGATGGGAACAGAAGAATCCATCTGCAGGATGCAAGTGGATCAATCCGCACTGCAAAGAAAACTGAACCAGCAAGAAGCCAAGAACAAAGAGCTGGCCAGAGAGATGAAGGAACTTACTGGTGAGCTAGACAGATACAGACAAATCAATAGTGTGAAACCCAGTGCCAGCAAATACACTGCAGTCCATGATCAGACCACCAGAGAGGTACAAACTGAGCCTGCACAGAGCCTGTTTCCTGACTATCGGAGGCACAGCAAGAAACTAGATGAACAAAATGGTGACACAGACCCAAACCATAATGTAGAGATCGTCAACAAAAGGAGCTCTCCTGTCAACAGCCTTAACAGCTTAAACAGTACAAATAACAACCTAAGCCAGGACAGCAGCCACTCAGGGACAGAAATGCACCCAACAATTAATGGAGAAGTTATGATGTTAACACACACACCAGGTCAGCCACTGCACATCAAAGTAACACCGCATCATGTCCTCAACACAGCAATGCTCGAGATCAGTAGCCCAACTGGAGAGACAGCGTCATCATACACCAGCACAGCCCTAATCCCGACGAGTGGAGCTTCACCTAAGCAGAGAATTACCATCATCCAGAACCCTAAGACCCCCACTTCCAACCCTGACCGTGCCATCTCCCCCCTTGACGGTGCGAACATGTCTCGGATGTTGAGCCCAAATTGCTCACGCTCTGTCACACCCGACCACAACAGCTCTCCTATTCAGATCGTAACTGTCAGGAGTTGCTCTCCGGAGCCAGCAGAGGTTACAGATCAGACTATTTTCTGCAAGACACCTGAACAGCAGAACGGCTGGTACCATTCGAGGTCCAGTACCCCTGACTCAAGTCCCAGTATCATCACAACAGAGGACAGTAAGATCCACATCCATCTGGGGAGCCCATATTTCCAGCCCCGACATGGTATGACCCACAATTTCCCACAGCCCGTTGGGCCATACTATGTTCGACATGAACAAAGAACTCAAGTACTCACTAACGGCTGTCACGTAAAAGGTGTTGGAAAGATTACAAGTAGCATCACTATATCCCCTGCTAGCTCGCCAGGATCATAATCCTTAAATGTTACAATAAGCAGCCTTTGTATTTAGGTAAAATACAAATATATAATATGTATTTTGCAAAAAATATGTCCTCAGTCATCATTTTAAACTCTACACAACCAAAATAATTCTGCAAATGCAAAAGTATTTTGATGTATTTGAATGTTTCGTCATGTTTGTTTAATGAGAGCCTTTGTAAAGCTTACTTTATTTGATTACTGTCTCAAGATTTATTGACTTTAACAACCCTTCATTGTATGTCAAGTGCCTGTCTAAGACATAAATGAGATGTCAGTGTTTCAATAACATTCCTTTTTTCCCTTGTTCATTAAAAGTTATCTTGTTTTCTATGTATTCATACTGAATACTTCTCAGAGGAACTGGGTCGCTTGCCAGTTTAAATGCAAAACAGCTGGATTTGGGAAAAAGTGAGTGCAAAACAGTGCTTTGATGTTTGATGAATTACTGGAAGAAAAAAAAAGCTTTATATGTTTGCTGAGCTGGGTTCGACTCAAAAACCTTTTTCCCCCCCTAATGCAAGGAAACTTGGAACACTTGGTGATGGAGGAGGTGTCCAGGTTTAATTGTGAATTGGCCACTAATTTACTTTTTAGTAAATATTATGAACTGTAATTGTTATTATTAGCATTTAACTAATTTCAAAGTGACAACTGATCCAATTAAATCATTTAAAAAGGTTTAATAGATACATTTCCACTGCTTTCCTGTGCTGTGAAAACAAGCAAGACCCCCCAAAGTATTCAGCATGTGCCTTCTCCTGCCACACAAATATCCCAATTTATAGATTAATGAGGCATTGTGTCACCATACTGATGTGCTTACTTTATGATTCTACAGCCTGTATGATGTAGACAAAAGTAGTTTTGGTTCTCAAAGTTCAGCTAAACAATAATTCTGTTGCTTTCAAGACACCTATTTAAGATTCAGATGAAGAATGCTAAAAAGAAAAAAAACAAGTGTACTGTTGAAAAAAGTAATGGAAAATTAAATCTGTTATGAAAGAAAAATATGCACAGGAATAAGGAATTATTGTTTATCTTGGAGAAAATACAGTTTACTGCCTTAGTTTCCGAAATAGCACAGATAATCCTCACACATTAAGCACAGTGATAACTTCTGCAAAAGCTCAATAAGGCTGGAAAAACACACAAGTTAAACAACAGCAATCAATTTATTCTTTTTAATTAGGTCAGCCGATTCCTTTAAATAAGCTCGCATCAACCCTGAAACCATAACAGCAGCCTTTGCTGTTTTAAGTGAACACAACCCTTATTAGATATTTTTAAGTGCAACATGACAAAATGAACAGTTACACAGTGTGGCAGAAATAAATAGCCTAAGACACTTCAGCAAATGAAATCTAGTCACCAAGTCATGATGAGCTGTGCCATCCAAATAGGAAACTAGCTGACAACACTGGGGGATACCATTACATGTCCTGGGGGGAGAGACGCTGGCAGCAAGCCTACAAATAGTGTGTATCTAACAACAGTTGCAGAGAAATATTAATGTGCAACTTGACAGGGGCTCTTGTGAGACCCTTTATTATTGGTTTGAGAATTTGGCCACGAGACACATCATCGCAAAAAAGGAAGAAAAAAATATATAGAAAAAAGCAGGAAAAAGTTGCACTGCTTCTTGCAAATTGCTGCCTTATTCTTAAGACTTCAAAGTCAATCCCATCCTCCGTCTAACAGACTTCAATTCTGCTTTACAGCCCTGTCAATTTTCTGTCAGCCTTGCAGCCATTTCTGTCAAGCAGCTCTGTGATATGAACGCACGGAAGGACGGTTATGCCAGGGGCAAACCTACAAAAAGAAAGCGCTGCACAGATCTCTGGACATAAAAACACACATGGGTTTACATAAGTAATAGCATGAAAGGTTGGAGAGTATCACCTGTGCAGATAATACATTCTGCTGAAGCATTTCAAAGTGATCACAGCTCATTGCCCAGGACACATGGAGAACAGGCAACTTGTAGAACCCTTCTCACTGCCTGGTCATGACTTTCATCATGAACAAATCCCAACTTTTATGAAAGAATGCAGATTTTACAGAAGTGGTCAATCAGCCCCAAGAGGAAACTGTAGTAAACAAATAGGCAAACTCTAAAAAATTAATATATAAGTAAAATATATGTATTATATAAGTAATAGATCAACTAATCAATTAAAGTCTGCGCTGATCTGTAAACACACAGATGTTTATTATTTTAAAGCAACGTTAACACCTGTATAATATTAAAGAGCGGTATATTGCATTATATAAATAACGTAATAAGGATCAGAAATTGAACTGAGGCTGGTATGGCTCAATTCAATATATTTTACTGACACGTGCACTAACACCTGGCATATTATGTTTCGTTTCTGCGTGCATGTGCGGAGACAACAAATGCAGAAAACGTGAATGAACATATTTAGCTTAAAAATTGCTAATGACTCTCGAAAATACAGCATCATGCTCACATTCCAATATGATCGCTACACAATCAGGTCGTTCGTCCTAAAACAGCACGACTGCCCTCTTTTGGTATGCAGAGTGCATGAAGCTGTTCCAGAAGTAGCCGCAGGGAACTTCCTGTGTTGATATGTGGCAAGAAACGTGGGTACAGCCCACTGAATGCTTAAACCTATGCGTGTAAGACAGTTAATTTTTAAGTTGAAAGAAAGCGAAGGGCACGATAGGGGACATTAGAGCAACTTTACCGGTCCTATAACCTCGTTTTCTGCAGTGACCCGCACATAAAAAACAGGTGAAAAAAAACACGTGTTAATACACCCCCTGCTCATAATAACTACTGCGACCAATGCGGATAATAACTAACCAGACGTAAGTCACATTTAGCACTGCTTTGTCTTTTCACTTGTCGCTATGTGTACTTTAGGTTAATGTTGCACGAATGTACCCAGGGGTTAACAGTAACTCAGACTGCTGCGATTGTTGCTAGCTAGCGTTAGCTTACTATAGCCGACAATTTCTGCAACAGCTCCAAGCTACCGTTGTGTTTTCTTTAGACTACACCAGGACCTCCAATACAACAAGAGAAGTCAAATGTACATGGTTAACCCAAATACCTGATTTGTACTCGTGTTGCCACCACTCGTCACCCAAGTCGTCACCCATTTTCTTTAGCTAATACTCCGTCTAATCCAAATATACCGCTAAGAGAGCAAGCTAGGGTTGCGTTCACAGTCAGTAGGATTTTTTAATGTAACAAACTGATACAATACTAACAAAAATACTAGCTGACACACTTTATACTGTAGGCATACATGTTTATTGATTACACATACAGATTCAATAATTATACATTTTTCGAAGTTACAGTTGTTTGCACATTTATTTTTACTTGGTGGAACGCCCATTGAAATGTTACAGTATTTCAAATTATGCTAAATGTTTTTGTCTCATCACAAGATTACTAAGTGGCTCATTGTTAAATAATATCTGGGACTCTTAAATAAAGGTGGGTAACATACGACAACCAGGGAAACAAAACAAAACAAAACTGGTCTCTACTTGTGTACACATGGACAGTGAAGGGGCCTCGGCCTCAGGATCCCTAACTATCAGAGAGCGCATAAAAATGTGTCTGGGAGCCACCCGATGCAGTGACAGTCAATGCATTAAGCAAGTTGCTATTGCTTTTTTAATGAACAAGTGAGATTTAATAATAAAATTACTATAATTCACTGTAATACTATAATAACTGGCCAAAAAAAGATAGATATAAATATGAAATAAAAATGAGATCAAGTTAAGGAGGAGTAAAAAGTAAGACTGTGCAAGCAAGTAGTGCAAATTGCATTAATAAGTTATATGTACACTATAAATCTGAGAAACAGCTGCAAGAAGAAATCAGTGCAGTATTTTCTGATTAAACACTGCAACATTTTTTGGCACTTTAGATACATCACACAGTATCATGAGGGAGACATGTGACTGGCCTCAAATTTATTCTTCAGCACAAATAAAAACAACTCTAAATTTGCAGCAATGCAAAAACATAAAGCATCTTATCAGCTACAAGAAGGGGTTATAGCAACAGATAGTGTCGATGAGCAGCTGAGACACCCTTGCCACAGGACAGTGGGAAGTTCTTCAAGATGCTTTGAGCAACCTACCTGGCAGGCGCCTTAAAAACAATGCACAACACCCATCATTTAGGTGATTTATGGTTTTTTCTGTGTGGGCAATGGGTCATCTGCCCCTTGAGCATCCTCCTCTGTCAAACCAACACTCTCTTCGTCCTCCTTTGCTGCATCCGGACATCTTCTCTGTGATCTTCCTCTTTTCCTGTGAAAACAAAAAAAAAAATTTTTTTAATTTCCCACATGCTGACTTTCTTATCTGGGTGATAATGATAATCTGTTTATCATGCAATTAATAGTAAAGATTTGCTTAAGCACTTAGCAAAAGCTCCAAAATCCTTTCTTGCACTGAGGGCAAACACTCGTGCCTCACTCGGCATACATTTGTCCTTTGCTCTTCAGTCATCAAAAACAGCTTTTCTTTTTAGGGCTGTTATCCTTTCAGTAGGTAGTACTTTACTATTTCGAGATGACGGGTGTTTTGTTGGATGGGAGAACAATAAAGATGACAAATAGGTTTGCGAAATAAATTTTACAAATGACGAATGCAATTACAGGATAAACCCTCATTATTAATCACACAGTGACATTTCTCTTGAGGACGAGAGCGCCATCTTACTGTTCTTTTACTTTGTGTACATTACAAAACACGTCTTTACATCCTCTGTCATTATTGTTTGGAGGAGGAGGAGTTTCAGCACAGAGAAGAAGTGAAAGGAAAAAGGAGGAGGATGCGCTTGGAATAGTGCCCTCGTTCCTGCAGCTGTAGTGGAGAGGAGGGACGGCTCCTCTGGGAGTAATTGCATGCTTTTTTGTTTTTCTGTCAGAATAACACATTTCTGCCTGGTATAGGGTATGAGATGTTTGATTAAAGCTTTACTGCAAAAAAAAGAACAGACTGATTACTGTGGAAATTATGGAGGGTTTAGAATGGCTGTGCTGTGTAACCCTCAAATGGGGGGAGAAAAACAAATAAAGACAGAGAAAGGAAGGATGCAGTGAACACATTGTGCTAATGTCTGCCAACTTTCAGGCAGGACAATAGGCTCTAAATGGCAGCTATGTATGTAATTAAGAATCATTCCTGTAAAACACAGGGCTCGTCCTCATTTGTCATTCTTTCTGTTCACTGTTTGGCTGCGTTTTCAAGTGAAACAATGCTGTAAAAAAAAAAACCCATACACACACACAATCCAATCTTTTCTAGGCGATTGGGGAACCTGTATGACTTAAAAAAAAATCCTGTGTTAATCAGCCAACTTGTCTGAGATGAGATGCATTTTAAAAGGGAAAATTCACGACGGTGAAGAACTTAAAAGTGGAGCTTTCTTTTTTTTTTTTTTTTGCACGAGTCATTTCGAATGCATGAGCGCTCATGCATTCGAAATGACTCTGAGGACGTTGTTTGAATAAACACAGTTGAAATGTTTTTAATAAAATATAGATAGGTATATTTTATCCAAATTTAGCTAGACTTTGTTTTAAACTTTAGAAGCAAAATGTTGTGCTGTTTGATATCACCCTTAATCTCCAGGTACACATTAAAGGGACATTTCCACTTTACACTTGAAGGAGAAAAAGAGCAATGGCAGAAAAACACGGCTAAGGCCTTTTTTTGTATCTCAGATTTCAGAAATTTTATATTTGAACTTATGGACTTAAAGCATTATCTTATTTATTTATAGTAAATTTATATATTTCCAGATGGGCCTAGTATCTCAGAAGCTACAGATAACTTGGGATTTACTGAGAATTTAAAAAAACAAAACAAAACGTGTGAGTGGCAGATCTCTGGGTAAAAGCAAAATAGCTACAGCCAATATCTCCCTTAAAATGGATCTAAAATGAGCATAATTGGTCAATAATTAGACAAACACACCAAGAGGCTGGTCAACATTTGTATTTCCCCGCCTGGTTGGGGAGTGGTTTTCTGGAGATTGCTGGCAGTTGCTAGGTGAAATTTATTTTAAAGAGCTATAAGGTGCTGCACTGAAAATCTTGCAATGATTTTAGTGGCGAGTTTATAGCAGCGATCGCCTGTAACTTGTATACGAGATACCAACTTGTCTAAAAGTCTGCAACTGTTCGCTAAGTCGTAGTGAAACTGTTAAAAGTGTGATGCAAAACACATACAGAAATAATTTGCCTTCAAAATAAAAGCACCGTTCAGAATGTATTAGTTTCAGTGTGCAGGCAAAACTTTTACATTATAGTGCGTGCAGACAAGTAGGTGTCGTCCATGCAAACTATGGCCAATTTGCTAGCAATCTGCAATTTGCTGCAGCATCCTCTTTATGATTGTAGTGACAGGCAGTAACCACTTGGCAAGTGGTTAAAAAAATACACATTTTCCCCTAGCAACCAGAGGTAGCTGTGGGGTGTGGTCTCTAGCCATTTAAGACTGAGGTGTAAATCAAGTCAATTTAGCTCCTCTTTAAGTCTGGTTACCCCTGAGATCTACATATTAAGAATATGAATCCTGTTTGACAGCACATGGAGCCAAGAATAGAAAAACTGTATAGAATAAAGTCAGTCTGAAGCCTGGCTGGTTTTGGTTCATAGACATTACTTGCAAAAACATTGATTCTTCAATATACTGTATTTAGATATACAGACATGGCAGGAAATAAGGAAACTTATAAAAAGTCCACATAAAGTTAATTTTTCTGAACTTAGAAGTTTTTTAACCTTTATGCCTTTCTACTCAGTCTCACCACTCAAAGCTCAAAGCGCTTTCATTCATGCAGTGCTTTTATCTATACCTAAGGCCTTTTTATCCAACATTCACACTCCGATGGTTGCATCTTGGCCACTTAGGGAATAGTGTCTTACTCAAGGATGAGGAGCCGGGAGTCAATCCAACCTTTCAATTGGTAGACGGCCTGCTCTACCACCTGAACCACATAACCTCTGACATCCTGTAGATTTCAAAATCTCTTACTTAAATCTCTCTCTCTGGCCAAGGGAGCAGCCATACGACCTCCTAACAAGACCTGATCAAGCTCTTGTTGGAGGAAAGAATCTGTGTTTGAACAATTTCGTTGTAGCATAGGGAAGAACTGGGATGCAACAAGATCAAAAATAAAGACAATAAAAGTTTGAAAAGTTGTCAGAATAAAAAAAACAACAGAAGAGAAGACAAACGTCAGGCTAGTGTAATTAAAAGCGGGCAGCTGTCTCTTCGGGCCTGTGTGATTGCACACTGTGGAACATTGGTGTTAATGTGTTTATTTTGTTCTGAGCAGCTGTTCCTCCTTTTTTTTCATTTTAATGATCACAAGAGGATGTGGTTTTGGTTGTATTTTCTTTGGCTGCCTCTCTTTTTTCCCCCCTTCTGAACACAGCAGAGGAGAGGTAGGACAAAACAAGAATTGACACAGACTAATTATGTCTTTGAAAAGTTAACAGCTAATTACTATACAAAAGCCATCATGCCACGTGATTTCAGTGATAAACACACTCTTCTTTACCTAAGACTTGTGCTCATTCTAGATTTCCCTTTCCTTGTTTTGCCCACTGAGGAATATGCAGTTCAGTTTGATGTTCTAACAGTTAAACGATGAGATGACATTCACTGAATAACTTTGTTGCTTAATTGTGCAGTAACCTTGTGCAAACAGTGGCCAGGAGATCCGAGGAGAATCGTATATTTATAAAAGTACAACAGTGCTGTCAAAGTGAGGGGAAAAAAGGGATGAATTAAACGAATATGAAATTAAATACAGTAACTGTCATGTCGTTATGCCACAGTTTGAAGAGGGGGGGGCAGAAAAGCGGTCAGTGCCTTGACAGCAAGTTTGTGACCAGAAGAGCCGCAAGTGACCTTGAGCTTTCGAAAACTTCACAACACGCAACCCGTGCTGGTCTGCGACTTACAACTGTATTCATGAGCATCTGGCTGAGCCTGACCTGCATGGAGATGAGCTGCATTTTAAGCAACTGGTACGTTTTAATCTGTTTTATTTGTTTGTTTGCTTTGATTTTCCTTTTTGTACTTTATGTGTGTTTGAGGCAGCAGTAAAATCTGAAAAGCATTAATGATACATATCAGTTAGAGACATCTGAAAATGTCAAAAATCTCATTTTCAAAGCAGAGTTTTAGTGGAATACTATGCAAGAGAATGATGGTATGTGACAGGGTTTGTAAGTGTTTGGTCACATTATACATGTCTCTCTGCGACCACGGATAGGATTAGCAAGCAAATGCCCTCCTGTAGATGTGTCAGGGGGTTAAAGGTAAGACAGTAGGTATCTCAGTGCAGATGACATTATCCAAAAGGTCCCAGTTACTGTCAACCTCACCAAATGTCCGACCGCATGCTCTGCAAAGTGTACTGGAAAACAACGGACTAGAAGTTACAGCATTACATGACATCCAACTTTTTTATTTGCTGGCATTTCAAAACAGGGCTGTAGGATTTTAGAAAGTCATGTTTGTCTGCCACCAGGCCCTGCATGTCAAGTTATAATGAGTTCAAACTTAAACTTTTTTCTCTTTTAAAAGAGATTTAAGGGCCATGTCACTGATTGTACATCAGTATTCATTTACAAGTCCAGAGTAGTTCTACTACAAATACACTCATTGGCCACTTATTTAGTTGTACTCGTTCATCTGCTTGTTAATGTAAAAGAATATAATCACCAATTACATGGCAACAACCTTTACAACATTTATGCATGTAGACAGGGTTGTGAAAATCTGCCCAAGTTCAAATCAACCATCAGATTTGGAATTAAAATGTGATTTAAGTGATTCGAACATGTGATGCTTTTTTTTGTGTCGTCTTGGTGTTTCATAAGCTGCTGATCTTGAGTAATTTTCTCACACATCCATAACTAGAGTTGAGAAAATGATTCAAAAAAGGGAAAATATCCTGCGTCAGTTCTTTGGGTAAAAAATGCCTCGCTGAAGCCAGAGGTCAGAGCAGAATGGCCAGACTGCTTTGTGCTGACTGAAAGGCAACAGTAACTGAACCACTTTTTACAACCAAGGTATGCAGAAGGGCATCTCTGACTGCACAACATGGAGAACCTCGAAGCAGATGGGCTACAGCAGCAGAACACCAGGTGTGACTCCTCTCATCTAAGAACAGGGAATTTAAGCTAAAGTTCACACAAGCTCACCAAAATTGCACAACAGAAGACTAAAAAAGGGAAAATCATTGCCTGATCTGATGAACATCTTTGTCTCTGGCATGATATTTGTATTGTAGGGTCAGAATTTGGCATAAACAACACAACAGAATGGATCAACTTTGGACCTCTTAGTACCAAATGAGCATTATTTAAATATCACAGCTCACCTGAGTATTGTTGTTGACTACAGTTTACCCATTTTATGCTGTTCCAACATGTTAATCCAGTCCAGCTCAAAATGATTTCTTAAATGTGCCAATGAAATCATTGTACTCAAATGGCATCCACAGTCACCAGATGGCTTGCAAGGAACAATGGAATCCAACCCAGTAGTAGCAAGCTGTAACTAATAAGGTGTTTGGTGCCTGTAATATGTTGAAAATGTCATAAAGTCATTTGCGGTTCCAGAGCAAGCTATTTAAAATTCATACGGTTCCAAGTGATCTCACTTAAGTAAACCTTGGTTGGGGGGAAAACCAAAAGTTGGGAAAAATGTGGGTGTAGAATTAGAAAGAAGTGAGCTCACAGAACCAGTTTAAGCCGACTCCTAAACTCAGCTTGAGGCGTGTTAGCTGCTAATAGCATTAAACACGCAACTGTTATATTTCTGCAAATGTCCCCTGCCTGTTTAAAATGTTATTTCAGTTTTTTCTCTGCACTGTTAGATGAATAGTTTCAGCCGAGAGATGTCTCTATATTTAGCTTTATATATCTATATCTTCAAATTTGATTTGTATCACAATGATCAGTACAGCCCTCGGAATAAGCATAGACTGTAGTTGTTACACTACATTGTCAAGTATTATGCGAGTTGAAATGAGTGTTATGTCATACTTATTTTGAATTTGGTCTGTTAATGCATTTCCAGATGATGAAAGTAAATGAATAAAACAAATGTGCTGTCAAAACTTTCAGCTGTCTGTTGCAATTGTTATCAAATGAGTCTTTGTTCTGCTGGATTTGTCTTCTCATTCATGCCAGGGTTTGTTTTTTTTCTCCAGCAGATGCAGCAAAACATCAGTTCTCATGTGTGACACCTCTGAGTGCTCGGGGATGGTGCAGACAGCAGAACCAACTGTGTGGGAAGAATGACAGGACATCGTGTCCCCTCTCTAATTAGGATAAGTGACAAGAGTGATTGTTGTTAGCTGCAGAAGTGATGGCATTAAAGGGCTGAGAGCCAGCCACACAGCTGGGAGATTAGGGACACGTGCATATTTTGGCCTCGACACGTACGTCACCAAAAGGACACGGAGGAAGAAAACAAGGTGAAAAGGGACTGCTACGTAATGCACCTGTCAAATAGGTCCTTGCAACATGTGTGGTGTTATGTGACCGAGGAGAAGAAGGCCAGGGCATTTAGAAGAAACAAACACTTGTGTTCTTAGCTAAGTGCGACGAGGCTTATAGGATGCAGACTGCTGTGTGAAGTGCTGAATAAAAGGTGCACAGATGGTGTTTTATTTATCACAATTTAGACTTTCATGTCCATTGTTCTGTATCAGTATTTGGACGTTTCTGAGTGCAGTCTTAATAATGCTTTGAATTAATTTGCTTTCAATAGAAGTTCAGCATTACCTTGTAAAGTGTAACACTTTGTGTAGATTCTCTATCGCAAAACTGTGGAGAAGTGAGCAAAATGTGTACTAATGGAACCTGATCAAATGTTGTAGCTAATGTTATTGAAAAAAACAGACCCCAAAGTGAAGTCAACCATAAATAAAAATCGTGTTGCTCGATGCACATCAGAAGCAACAAATCTGCAGAACAGTCTGTACAACTTGTCAGGCTCTCAGTGGTCATCAATAGCAATTGCTCACGAACTCAGTGTGAATGTTATTGAATTAAACTTAGGCCTTGAAAAGACCAAATGCTCCAAATGTCTGCCGCCACTGATTGTTATTTAACAATGGAGAGCTGACATTTTCACTACTCTGATTCATTCCATTGTTACAGAACTTTGAATTTATTTTGTCTGTTCAACCACGATTTGTAGCACGATAAACGGGACAGACTGTGCCAGCCCATTTCACTTCCACATTAAAAAAAACCCCCAAAAAGTGAGTAATCAATGAGTGATCACGTTCCCTCCTAAATATTTACTTTGTTTAAATACTAGTTACTTAATGTTTATTATACTATTTATTTCCATACTGAGCACCGTCTGATAAATCTTTTTACAACTACTAAAAACTGCTATCCAAGGTCAGCAATAAACCTTTAGCTTTCAGCTAACATGGGTGCTAAGAAAAACAAGCATCTAGATAATCTAAAATACAGTGAGAACAGGGCACTGCTAGAAAAACATTTAGTTTAGTATCTGTACAGTTTTTCTATACGGTATTTTCATTTATAGTGCCTAGCTGCCTTTTGATTCCACTACATATAGGATGGGAACTATAAGGTTTAAGACAATAATAAATATCAAAAAACATGGATTCTCTTTTGTACTGTATAAGTGGCCATAATAAAGTCTTACTGCAGAGTTTGTCTACACAGCGTCCAAAGTCATCAAGTTGAAACATGAATGCAAATGCATGCAGGAGAAGTTTCTTCTCCTCTACTTCTTCTTTTCTCTCCTATTAATCACCTTCTGAGGCTCTACATTCTGCCTTGATCCCTTGGAAGAGGCACAAAACCAAGATTTGAACCACTGGAGTGCAAAAGCTAACTACTGTACAGTGTATGTAAAGAAGTTAATGCTTCATCTCAAGCAGCAGCAGCAAAATATTACTCAAGCACTGATGCATCAGTATTAAGAAGCTACTGTAGTAATGTTATATGGAATAATATATCATTTTTAACTGTTAAGACGTTTAACCAAAGTAAGGGCTTGAATAACTTTTTAATAACATTTAATGGGATATTAAAGGAAAAAAGATTGGTACCTAAAATTATGTTACTGCAAAAGATACTTTAGCTTTTGTGGTATTTTTATGTTCCCAACATCACCAACAAGGTTTAACTTATAAAAGGTCACATTAAAAAGGGGGGAAAAGAAAGTCTAAACTGGTGTAATCTACAAAAATATCAAAGCCTAAACAAATAAGTTAACAACCCTGCTAGCATCATGCAAACACTGGAGCCGATGCCTGTTAAGAGTGTGGTACACCCAGTGTACTAATACACAATGATTCATTCTCACATTCCCAGCTACGAACAGTTACCTGACATTCATGTCAGCAAGCTGGAGTAAACAGAGGAAACTCATGCAGGCACAGTGAGAACATGCAAACTGTAAACTCCACACAGACCTGAGATTTGAAATGAAACATTAAACTTCCTTTATCAATGCATCTGACAGGGGAACAAATCAAATAAGCATCTTCTACAGTAAAGTTCTTTTTAAAAACAAAAAAAAAATGTTTTTATGCCTTAGAAGCTCATTGAACCTCTGCGTGTGTGACTGGGAAGTACAAATGAGCTGAATTCAGTTGAATTAAAAGGAACAGTCGTCTATTTGTCCATTTAATAAGCCACAACAAAATAAAATATTAAACGAACAACAGCAGCAACAAACAAAAACAGGAAACAGCAAGGTGTCTGTCCAATACAAACAAACAGGGATTACAGAACAGAGAACTGCTTAAAATGCTTAGTTACAGATTTTTTTAATCATTATTATTATTTTTAAATCCACTTGATTTTTATTTAAAACATCACAATCTGACTAATTTTCTTGTGCACAAAAAGTTTTCTGTCCCTCATCAGTAATTTTAACACTGTATAATACCTTTAATATATCAATCTGGACATTAATTCATCTTATATAATATAATAACATCGCCCCTTTTACTAGTCTTAAATGAACCTGCCATTAATTTCTCAAATGGATGTTACTACCTTTAATGCATAATTAGAGCTGATTTTAATCATGAAAAACATACTCGCTAATGCTCGGCTCACGCTTTACCCAAACTCCTAATGCTGCACTATATATTTTATGTAAATAAGAAATTGCTCATAAATGCATAAGCTTGGCGAGATATCACACGGGGTTGATAAGATGGCAAATGAAAGAATGAGGAGAACACGAGAGTGTGCGTGAGAGATAGCGAGAAAGGAGTGAGACTATGAGCACAGCAGTAAGAGGGCAAGGGAGGATGTCCCGCAGGTCATGAATAAAAGACGAAAAGAATAATTTGGGTGTTTCTCATCGTGGTACAGAACACCATAGTGTGGGTATCAAAGAGATTAGCACCGCTGAATAGCATCTCGCTCCTCTTCTCCTTGTTTTGTTTTTATCTCTCTCTCTTACGTTATACACATACTGCAGTCTCTTTCCGTTCCTTAGAGCAACATGTATAGTATTGTTTTCCCCACAGCATCGCAGACACACACTGAGCAATAATATGTTCGTCTTTTAGGTGTAGTCACCACGGGGGGGATTCGTATGGCGCAAATTAGGTTGGATCTCCTTCTCCGAGAAGCTATTAGTCCCTCATTACCACCCTCTGTAAATGCGTGCGCATGTGTGAGTGTGTGAGCGTGTATTTTTGTGATGCCAGGGTGCGACATCATCAAGGAAATCTCTGCTCCAGCAGTACATCATGTTCTCTTGATTCTTATACGTAAACAAATTACAGTAACTTACCAGAGAAAGCAAACAACACCAAGAACAAGCTTATTACATTTCCCTGCGTTAGTTCACTGTGGTTACATAGAATAAAGAAGGACCTGTGTGTTGCTTCACACTATGTCCTGAAGGACTGCGAGTAGAACGAGGGAGTCCTTTATACATATAGCAGCAACTCATTTTCTGATCTAGCCGGAGATAGCTCCTGTGAGGGATCACGCTGTGGTTTCTAAAAAAGATGTTCCTTCGAGAAAGATTTGTCTTGTCACTGTTCTCTGCAAGCGTATTACCATTTCACAATCAGCTCCTGAACAGCTGTTTCCATTGATAACAAACTGATGTATAAGTCTGTAATTGTAGGAAGATAGGAGCACTTTTACACTTACACATAACTGCTATGGGCGGATACATAGTCGAGAAAGTGTAGATAGCCTGCGCATTTTGTCCGAGACCCCGACATTGAAATGCTAAGCTGTGTGTTTCCACTGTAACTAAATGCCCCACAAGCTCTTCTTGCTGGGAGGAGAATTTTTACACAAAAGATTTTATTATTCTGCTGTTCTTCTGTAGGCGATAAGATGAATATGGAAAGCACACTGCCAGCAGAATCCATCTCAAAACAGCTCTACATCTAGTTTAGCCAAAAATAATACCACCTTCAAGCATTCCCTTTATTCAAGGGGACAACATTATTCTGTTACATGTGCCTAGAATCGTTTGAAAGAGAGAAACCCCTAATATAAGTATAGTAGGTCATTTCTTGTCCTTGTTTGAGGTTCACGTTAATGTTATATATTTCTGTTAGTGAACTTTTAAATTAGCATCGGTGCATAAGCAAACTATGCAATGAAGTCAAATACCACCTTTTTCTTGTTTGATTAATTATTTTACAGCTTAAACACAGTTGGCGCGCATGCTCAGAGCCTCTAATGAAACAAACTGTATTGCTGTAATATGAGAAATGAGGTACCCATCAAATTGTGGGAAACCCCCCCCCCCCTTGCCTTCTTGCATATTCTTCACAATAAAAGGTCTTGATGAGTGATAAAAATGCAGTGTGCTGCTGCCATGTCAAACTGTAACTAATCAGATCAGATTAGTTTCTCAGCTTGACAGAGGTGTAAATGGAAAGCGGGAAGCTTGGCAAAGATACTGGAGAAAATGACTTTAGGGGACTGATTTGCCTTTGCCTCTGTGGAGCAGATTGTTCATAAAGCCGCCACCAGATGGTGCTGAGATCCTCTCGATGCTTCCGCAGTATGTGTCCACATATGTGTCTGTGGGAATATCAGCTGCATGTTTGCCATTATTGCTGGTATATTTGGGAGCATTTTAATACGGACACCTGTGTTTTCTATGTGCTTTTGCGTCTCGCTCCCATGAGGGCAGTGTTGTTATTGACACAGGTGGAGAGGCTTTTCTCTTTGAGCCGTTTACTGATGTGGGAGGTCAAAGTTGCGCAGGACTTTAAAGATAGACCTTTTCAAGCAGCCTCTCTGCAGGCCCCTCCAGTGAACTGAAACTTCAGATATTGGGTTTGGGGGCTGAGTTAGTGAGAACACAGTTGGCCTTTGAGGCAGAGTAAGCATGTCGTTTCTTGCTGTTTTTGCATGATATTTTATGTTTTTAACTTGCCACAATGCCTCCTCACCCTTCTCTGTGTCCCTTTTTCAGTTTGCCCATCAGCCCTCTGGCCCCGAGGAGCATCTGTGCCCCTCCTCATTTCCCATATGCCCCATGCCTTTAAGTCTAGCCCCGAACTGTAGCGCTGATAACTTATTCATCACAGACATGAATTAACAATCGTTCATTTTCCATCACACCAACAACCTGATGGTTTGATTTCACTCCTGACCTGCTTCTGGTTTCACTTGTGCATCACACAAACATAC